GTGCTCAGCTCGCTGCTGCGCCTTCCCTCTTGTTTTCCAGGGGCCATGACCGAGGTGGCGAGCGAGCCGTTCGGACGCTTGCCCCCGGAGGAAGGAGGCGGGGCCGTGGAAAAGTTTGTGCTGAAATCAGAGCGTGTGAAAGTGGAGGTTATCTCCTGGGGCTGTACGATCACTGCCCTGGAGACCCGAGGCAGGGATGGGAGCCCCTTGGACTGCTGCGCCTTCCCTCTTGTTTTCCAGGGGCCATGACCGAGGTGGCGAGCGAGCCGTTCGGACGCTTGCCCCCGGAGGAAGGAGGCGGGGCCGTGGAAAAGTTTGTGCTGAAATCAGAGCGTGTGAAAGTGGAGGTTATCTCCTGGGGCTGTACGATCACTGCCCTGGAGACCCGAGGCAGGGATGGGAGCCCCTTGGACGTTGTTCTGGGCTTCGATCGTTTGGCAGGTGGGTTTCGATCCATTCTTCAAAGCCAGTATCAGTGACTCAGCGTCTCGGTTGTTTTCTCTCGGATCCTTTTCTGAGGCGCCTGTCCCTGAGCTGCCGTTTTTCCCAGCTTGCCCAGGGTAGGCCTCTGCTGCAGCGCACAGGAGTGCGAACCCTGCCCCGTCCCAGCCTGGCTGTGTCCCATCCACCGCACTCTGCAAGGCAAGGGAACGGCTTCTCTTCCAGAGGGCCGGGGCAGGAGGGCTGCAAGTTGCCGTTTGCTGCAGGAGCAGCACCATAAGTCACAGAATCCCCATCCCAAGAGCAGGAAACTTTCCTTCTAGCTTGTGGGGCAGCACAGGCAGGAAAGGGGGGCCTACAGTGGGTGTGGGACAGAGGTCTGTATCATGAAGTGTTGACGGATCGGGAGAACGGGATTGCCAATGAAATGACTAGACAGCTGGTTTAAAGCAAGTGTAAAGAAGTACAGTACATCAAACAACACACAGTCAATTCGTGGAGCTTGTTGCCAGGGGACGTTGTGAAGACCAGACGTATAACTGGGTTCACAAAAGAATTAGAAAGTTCCCAGAGGAAGGGTCCAGATGGTCAGGGTCCTGACTGCATGCACGGTGTGTGCCTAAATCTCCAGCTGTCAGAAGCTGGAGCTGGACAATAGAAGTGGAACATTCAAAACCACCCTGTTCTCTTTGCTGTCTCTGAAGCCGCTGGCACTGACCGCTGTCAGGGACAGAGTACTAGGCGAGGTGGGCCGTTGGCCTGACCCATATGGTCGTTGTTCTGACCATGAGATAAGTTAGTGGAGTTTTGTTTAACTGTAGCACCTAGGGGCCCTAGTCAGGAATGGAACCTCAAGAGGAAGGATGGGCTAATGCCCAGGGCACCACGCTGAGACTTCAGCAATTCTGAGTTCAGTCCCTGCTCTCTCTCAAACTCATTTTGTGACATTGGCGAAGTCGCTTAATTTCTCTGTGCTTCAGTTTCCTACCTGTAGAGCAGGATAGGTGCCCTGCCTTGCCTGATGACAGAGCTGTGAGGATCTGGTGACATATGGTGACAGGAGCTATAAGAGAAATGTAAACAAATTGTGCTAGGTGCTGTACAAGCTCAAACTGGGATAGTCCTTACCCAGTCTATGACCCTTACTTGGCTCAGGGGTGCTCAGTGCCACTGGATTTGCTCCTGGTTTACAGACCTGTGCACGCAAGATCAGTCAGGCTCGCAAAACTTGAAAATGGGGCAGGGACCATGGTTTTGTTCTGTTTGTACAGCACCTAGCACAGTGGGGTCAGGTCCGTGGCTAGGGCTCCTAGGCACTAGGGTCATCCGTATAATCATAGAATCATAGGACTGGAAGGGACCTCGAGAGGTCATCGAGTCCAGCCCCCTGCCCTCAAGGCAGGACCAAGCTCCGTCTACACCATCCCTGACAGATGTCTATCTAACCTGTTCTTAAATATCTCCAGAGAGGGAGATTCCATACATGTTAGGCACTTACGGATCAGTTGGCAGGATGGACGCTATGTGAGAACTGATACGGAGGTTGTGGAGACTGGCGGCATTGGTGCAGCAGAGCAGGCAGGGTTGGTGGACAAGAGGTGGGAGTGGGCATGCAGACCGGGCAGAGTCAGAGACTTGTGAAGTGAAGATGAGTAGCGTGACCACAATGTGGAGAGAGAGGAGCAGGTGGAGATGCTTAGAGGGAGCAGACGGCAAGTGCTGCAAGCAGTTGTGCTTTGTATGAAGAGGAGGGACAGCACTGTGGAGGGCAGAGGCCTGAGAAGACCCCAGGCTCCATGTGGAGCTGCTGCTTTGAAGTACCCTGCTCCTTTCCCCCTCCCTCCCTGGTTGCTGCTTCTTTTGAGAGGCAGCAAGCGGGGGGAAGGGAGCGACTAGTCGACTGACTATCTGATAAGCATTTGCTTATTGGATAGTCCACTAGTCCTTAGCATCCCTAGGCCACACACTACTTTAAGGAGATCTGAGCTAGGCATGCAGTCCTGCAACAAGCAGCCGCTCAGTCACTGTCGGATGGCAAATGGGTGCTGTCTTCCTGTTTTTAAGGAAATTATATGAGCTACTTGGAGCATCATGAAGTGACAGCTGAGGGCAGAGTGCACCCGCTGTCACACGGGGACCATGAGCTCTCCTCAGAATGATGAAGCACTTTGAATGCTCGTTGAGCTCCAACAGGGAACCCACACTCTGTACTGCTGGCAGCTCCCTGGCAAACACACACCAGGCTGTTTTTATTGATGCATTTCCTCCTTGTTGTTTCTCAAATTTGCAGGAAAGCAGGAGGCCAAATTCTGCTCTGCATTCTCAGTGGAGAATCTGGGAGCAGAATGGAGACCACATATTAATCTGGTTTTGTTTTTTGTCTGAGGAATGGAGTAGATTTGGATGAGCTGGTTTGATTTCTCTGGCTGATAGGGTATATTTGTTACTATGCTGCTTTCTGTACAGGTTCTGATTTTCTAACCTCTCTGAAATCCACATGCATAGTTAGAGTGGCTTAAAAATTGGCCTGCCAGTTTAGAGTCTGGGTAAAGTCTGGGGGTGTATATTTGGTGACAGTGCATGTCCTGGTCTCTCGCACAGCTTGCCTGTGGGATGCTGAGCAAGCCACTCGCAGCAGAATTTTTTTTGGGGGTGAGAGGTGAGTAGAAAACACCTCACCTCCATGGTACTTAGCAGGAAGGGCTGCCTTGTGGCTAATGTCAGCCTAGCGCTTCAAATGGCTACACTGAATGGGAAGTGTCTCCTGAGCTCTCCATTTCCTGCGTTTTTAACACAAACATCCTGTTTTTTCTGTTAGGGCAAATGTTCTCGTAAAGGGATCTTCAGACCTCCACAGTTGCTTGTTCTAGGGCCATGAATTCTGAGGAATGAAGCACTCCCATAATTCTGGAAGGTGCAGGGGTGATGGAAATGGGTGTGCAGTTGGAGGTGCCGTCTAGAATTCAAATCTGTGAACAAATGGAGACCTGCAGATACATTCTAAGTTTTCTTTCTTACAATAGGACTCTTGTCTTATTGCCAGGACTGGTTTTCCCACCCCAGTCTCTGAGGGTATGTCTGCACTGCATTCTATTTCGAGAGAGGAATGCAAATGCAGCCAAGCGAAATTGCAAATGAAGCGCGGATTTGTATTTCCCGTGCTTCATTTGCATAATCACATCCAGCCGCTATTTTGAAATACCCTATTTAGAGATAAAAAAAACACTGTGTAGATGCAGTTATTTTGAAAGAAACCCCTTCTTTCGAAAGAACCGTTACTTAAAAAACGAGGCTTAACAATTATTTCAAAAGAAGGGTTTTTTTTTAAATAACCATGTCTACAATGCGTTTTTTATCTCGAAATAGGGTATTTCGAAATAGCGGGCAGACGCGATTATGCAAATGAAGCATGGGAAATTCAAATCCACGCTTCATTTGCAATTTCACTCAGCTGCATTTGCATTCCTCTCTCGAAAGAGGAATGCAGTGTAGACATACCCTCTGTTCCATCTGCCTGGCCTTAGAGATCAGGATCAAACTAGAACTATGTTTTCAATGCTGACTCATTTATTTTTGTTAGGTTACGTCAACAAACATCCCTATTTTGGAGCCGTGATTGGGCGAGTTGCTAACAGAATTGCTAATGGGAAATTCACTGTGGAAGGACAAGAGTATCAGTTGGCCCTCAATAACCCACCCAACAGCCTGCATGGAGGGAACAAAGGATTTGACAAGGTACCTCTGTTCATGGTCATTCTGATTCTGATCTTCTTGGTTTTCAATGAGCAGCAGCCTGTTAAGCAAGCAGTTGATTTTAGTGCACTTCAGCCCTGAGCCATTGATGTTTGAGGACAAGCTTTCTGTACATTGAAAGTTCATAGAACCATAGAACTGGAAGAGACCCCAGGAGGTCATCAATTCCAGCCCCCTGCTCTAGGCAGGACCAATTCCAACAAAATCAACCCAGCCAGGGTTTTGTCAAGCCGAGACTTAAACACCTCTAGGGATGGAGACTCCACTACTTCCCTAGGTAACCCAGCCCAGCGCTTCACCACCCTCCTAGTGAAATAGTTTTTCCTAATATCCAACCTGGTCCTCTCCCACCACAACTTGAGCCCATTGCTCCTTGTTGACACTTTCTCAGTGGCTTTCTGATCAGACTCATATTGCCTTGTTTTGCAATGAGCTTTCAGATCTGTGCAACTAAAAGACACAATCCCTGCAATGTATTCCAATCAGTTTTTACTATGGGTAAAATCTGCCCCTAATCTAGTATGTATTTCCGAGAGTCTGTCTGTCAGTCTGTGTTTGAGAACTCCTCCCAAACAGAAAGAGCTAGCACCACCAAATTCAGTATGCAGCTTCCTCTGATCCTAGTTTAAAGCGAGGTAAAGGTTTGGTTGTGCCAGGAAAATGGGATATGCCTGTGTCAAGTCACAGGGGCATTGTGCCTAACAGGGTTGTGGATAGATAGTTGCTTTTATTAATCTTACTACAAAGACAAATGCAATACTGCCAAATGATTACCCAGCTGCTACAAAATACAAATCTCACCACCGCACTACCGTTACAGGCTAATACTGGCAAGTGCACAACTACTGCAAGCTAATCCAAATAATTAGCATAGGCAAAGCAATCCATATTAATGAGCAACAGGCACTTGGAAATGCTTACGCCCCACCAGGTCTGCAGGGAGTTCCGTTCCAGTCACCTCGCACCAGGCCGCAGTGGACGTGGCTCCAGCTGGGGGACCCAGGGCACCTTGCGAGGGAAAAGGTCCCTGGTGGAACCCCCCGAGGGGCGGGACCCCGGGCAGGTGTTGGACTCTGGCTGTTTACCAGGTGTGCACGTCCCTGGCCCAGCGCCATTCTTATTACTATCATGGGCTGAGACCGAGGTCAGACCTGTTTGCTGCTCAAGGCCTGGGGAGAACTGATAACGCCCAGCTGCTGTTGCGCTTGCAGGGTCTGCTAAGCTGGGTACAGCAGGGATGGAAACTTCCATCCCAGGCCTGCTAAGCTGCAGGACCCACATAGGACTGTCATGTGACAGCCTGGAATGAGACTTCTGTATGGTTTACTGAGAAGCAGAGAGACAGAAGCACTAGGCCGGGCCGGGCCGGGCTGGCTGGGAGCCCTTCCGCCCTCCTGGATCAGCCCCAGCTCTAGGCCTCCCACCTCACGAGTCCTTTACTGAGGGTGGAGAGCTGAGGCTTCCCCGATTTGCACAGGAGCACTGCTGGCTGTTCCCCTTCATCGGGGAGGAGGGGCAAGCGCCAGTTTGCTGCATCCCTCACTCTGGCTGGGGAGCACAGGGGCAAGCAAACCTGGACCTGCTCAGCTGGAGGACATGCTCCCCTCCCCTGCAGCGCCATAGCCTGGCGCTTCTCACCTGGCCCCAGGCTGCTGCGATGAGAGGGCTAGGACTGTCCTCTCTCCCGGGGGCGGCCTGCATCGTGAGCCCCTCACCCAGCCCACTACGTCAAATGCAGCATGGACATTTACGTTTTATTTTCCAAAAACCCAAAATTCATCACATTAAGGACCGGAGCAACACCAGGTAAATCTTGCTGTGAATTGGCCACCGCAGCTGGGCTAGGGCTGGACTCTATCCCCTGGGTGACTATGGGAAGCCATTTCTCCTCCCTTTTGTTCAGAGTGCTCCTCAAGGTTCAGAGGGAACAAGCTTTGGTGCTATTGAGAGCTCCAGCTTGGCGCTGCCAGCACTGGTACACATCTCTCCTGGGAATGTCCGTGGGAGCCCCAGTCACCTTACCCCTCTTCGTGGGCCTGATCACTCAGAATCACCCAGACATCGAGTCACTGCGCCTCACAGCTGGAAGCTCCAAGGCTGAACCTGATGGTCTCCTGCTTAGACCCAGTCAGACAAGTCCTTGTTGTCAGTAGGAAACCCTCGCCCAGGGCTACCTACCTGGCCAAGTGGAAGAGATTTTCAGTCTGGTGGGTGCAACAGTGTCCGTCTCTGATGCTTGTGTTTATTCCACTTCTACCAGACCATCTTCTCCATCTTAAGCAGCAGGTATTGTCCATTTCATCCGTAAAGGCCTACTTAGCCGCCATTTCTCCCTTCCACGTCGGCACAGCCAGCCCTATGGTCAGCCATTTCCTGAAAGGTCTTGGCAGGCTCTGCCCACGTATCCCACAGCTGATTTCGGCCTCGGACTTCAGTCTAGTCCTTTCTAGACTAGTGATGCCACCCTTTGAACCACTCTGACTTGTTCTGCTTTACCTCTTCCACAAGGTGGTGGTTTTGGTGGTGATAACCTCAGCCAGGACAGACGTACCCTGTGTTCTGTATAGACAAAAATCAGCTCAGGCCACTCCCAGCGTTTTTCCTGAAGTTCGTCTCTGTTTGACATCAACCAGGACGTCTTCCTCCCAATGTTCTGTCCTGAGCTGCACACAAGCGGCAGGGAGCACCAGCTCAATTGTTGGGTGTTCGCACAGTGCTGGCCTTTTACATTGAAAGAACAAAACTCTTGTGGAAATCCATTCAATTGTTTGTGGCTGTTGCAGCCAGAATGAAAGGTCCCTCAGTCTCCCTTCAGTGAATTTCATCCTAGATCGTGCCCTGCAGTGCTATAACCTAGCAGAGGTGCATGCCGCTTCCGCAGAGTTCTTGAGGCAGGGTCCCACCCAGGGTATGCAGAGTGGCGATGCGGGCCTCCAGACGTACTGTCGCTGTTCATTCTGCAATTATCCAGCAGGCCAGAGGGGACAGGACTTTGGTAAAGCAGTACTCCACTCAGTGGACCCTGAACTCTGCCCTGCCTCCAGGACTTAGGCTTGGGTGTGACCTGATTGGAATTGACACACACAAGCACTGGACGAAGAAAAAACGGTTGCTCACCTTCTCATAATTTGTTCTCCAAGATGTTCTTCATGGCCCTTCCGATACCCACCCTCCCTCCCCTCTGCTGGAGCTGAGTGGCTGGCAGGTGGGCAGGGCCCTCTATCGAACTACTCCAGGGGGTGCCCTGAATGACCCAACAGACACTGCCAGGGGACAAAGCTTCCGGCTGCTGTACGCATGCACACACATCTATCTGATTGCAATGGGCATGGAAAACACACCTCGAAGAACAACACTTAGGAGAAGGTGAGTAATCGTCTTTTCCCCTCTGGACTTCAGCCGGAGAAAATGCCATCCTGAATCCAAGGGATGCACACACTGCTGAACTGAGGAAGGGTGTGATCTTGTAGTCTGAGAACAAGGCTGGGAGATGTGAATTTCAGCCCCAGCTCTGACACCATGATCCTTGGGGGGGGGGGGGGCGCTGTGCCTCAGTTTCCCCCTATATACACCAGTTCCTGCAATCCTCAGGCAAAGCTGGAGACACTGGAGTAGACTGTAGGATTTGTGCTGGTGAGGGTGAAAAGCGATGTGTGTAAATGTTGCTCATGATCATGCAACATTCGCTGAATCAGCAGACACTGACTAGAGCTAGCAAATCATGTTTGGAAATGATCACCGTGGTTGCCTAGTCATGGCCAGTAAATGTCAACACGGACAAGGCAGCACAGATGCCACGCTCTCCTTATCTTTATCATATAGTCCCAGGTTCTCAAACATCATTGCACCGCCACTCCCTTCTGACAACCAGAATTACTACCTAACCCCAGCAGTGGGAACTGACGCCTCAGCCTTCCCAAACTGGCTGCCCCGTGTGGAAGGGCCAAAGCCCCACTGTCGTGGGTGGTGGTGGAAACGAGACAAAGCCAAAGCCTACGGGCTTCAGCCCCAGTCAGGAGGCCTGAAACCTGAGCCCCGCCCCCCAGGGCTGACGCGCTCAGATTTCAGTTTTGGCCCTGCATGATGGGGTGTGGCCTTTGGCCCTGAGCCTCAGCAAGCCTAACATCAGCCCTGGCGAACCCATTCGAAATGTCTCAAATACCCGCGAGTGCTGAGGACAATACCGAAGAGTTGCAGGTGCTGAAATTTTAGCAAAGACATCTTTTATCCCAAATACTACTTGTTCAGGAAAGTCAGATGGCGTCTACAAAAGCTAAAAAAGGAGTTTCAAATAGTGTAAGTCTTTCCCAGTACTTGTCTACATTTGAAAGCTGCCCAGTGTTTAAACTCGGTGGCGCTGAAGTCAGAATGCTGGCCAAAGGTCTGTGGCCAGAGTCGACAAGGACTGGATGAGTCGTCAGTGTAACACCTATACGCTACGACTAGCTGAGTGATGTTGAGCAGAGCCAATTGTCATCTAGCTGGTCTCAGTGCTGTGGTCAGCTTTTAGTCATCCAGTTCATGGTCCCCAGGCAGGATAATCTGTAGTTTTATTATCTTCTTTCTGGCTGGAGAGACAAGCAAACAAATCGGCTGTAGCAGTCCCATTTGCAGAAAGACACTTTACAGTTGATCTGATTATTTGATTTCTGTGCCTGGGTCAAGACCATGCACACCTGCAAAGAGAAGGGTGTGCGAAGGCCTCTTCAACCTTGGCCAGGTAGAGAGCATTCTGACTAGAAGGAAGCTGACTAGGGAACGTGGAGAATGAAACCAAGGGATATGAGAATACTGGGATTCAACTAGGCAGCAGACCTGGGCTCTTGAGACTTGTTGTGGTGTGGGTTTTGCAGTGTAGATGTACCCTCACAATCCTGTTACTTAACACCCCGCTGATCAGTATAACATTTAATTAGCTGATTGAGTAGTTGATGGGGGGGTGCTCACTACCCCCGCTCTGGCTCCACCTTATAAATGCAGTAAGAGCCAGGCGGCTCTTACTACAATTAAATAGCAGAGGTGCAGCATTCGGGGATCTTGCGTGAGCTGGGACTGCTTCAGTCCTAGCTTGTGCAGAGTCCCCCACTGTGCCTCTGCCTCCTCTGCCCTCCCCTCTGCCCAGAGATGGTGCTGGGGGAACTGGCTTCTAAGCTGACTACCCCCAGCACTGGCTCCTGCTTCCCCTATTGCTGCCTCTGATACAGAGGCAGCAAGGGGGAGGGGAAGTGAGTAGTTGAGAGAGTGACTCTACTCCCCTATCGTTTATATCCCTGGTCCGAGAGTTATCCCTAGTACTCCGATTGGACTTTCCAGCTTCAATTGCTCTGTTCCTTCAGCTGCTCCTAGTCTTTTCAGTTGTACTCAGTGTTTGTTTTCACTTCCGGACTTACACTGTGTGCCGCTGAAGAGTTCCTACCCTTGGAGTGAGCTAAGTGATTCCTGAATGTAAACTGTAGGATCTCTCTGAAATGCAGTATGTAAATCTGTTTTTAGTTTATGTATCTGAAGTATACAGGACCTTGAGCAAATGGGAACTAATACTGATTGGCAGCCTCCTCTTTCCATGTTCAAATCCATGAGGCAGCACAAGAGAGGGGTGCTGTTCAGTAAAGCATTATGATTCATATTATCCTGTCCCTTGCGACCTTCAGTCCTGGATCAGAACCCCAGCGTACCAGGCACTCTACAAGCACTGAACACAAAAGGCCCCTAGCCCAAGGAGTTTACTGTCTAACTATGGTTTCTGTGTCACTGCAGCTGTAAATAAGAATTCTGAGAGACCTGTTTGCTTCAGGAAATGGAGCTGTGTCATGTATCTTGCATGTGGGTTTCCAGGGGTAGAGAAATGAAGTGAATGTCAACTAACTTGATGTTGCAGGTTCTCTGGACCCCCGAGGTGCTGGTAAATGGCATACGCTTCTTCAGAAGGAGCCCAGAGGGTGAGGAAGGGTATCCTGGGGAGTTAAAAGTCTGGGTGACCTACACACTTGATGGCGGAGAACTAGCAATAAACTACCGGGCGCAAAGCAGCAACACTACTCCGGTTAGCCTTACAAACCATACCTACTTCAATCTAGCAGGCCAGGTAAGTTCATCATCCTTGGCCCTTGACACAGTTCATCTCAATGTCTCTTTCAGTCTAGCATGTAGACTCCTAACTCTCTCGTGAGCTGTGTTGTCCAGTGATCTTACTTAGCTTGCTGCAGGAGTAGAACTAATATGTTAGTACGGGGGCGGAGGGAGAGGGAGCGGAGGGAGAGGGAGCAAGAGGCATGTGCAGGTTGGTAAGGGAGGGAGAGGCTGGGGCTACTTGTGGTGTGGGTGTTCAGAAAAGCCCAGTCCAAAGGTTCAGGGCAGTCGGGGATGAGACATGCCCCGGGAAGCTAATTTGGCTTCAGGAGAAACTACTGTGACTCTGAGTCTATTTGTATTCCCAAGCCGGAGAGATACAGGACAGACTGGATGATCACCTGGGCCTTTCTGGCCTTAAACTCCCTGACTGCAAAAAATGAAGCTTGGTGCGGTCACCACAAGGCATGGCAGAACGGCTCTTTTGGACTTCCCATTGTTTTGGGCCAGGAGACCAGTCAGCTAACAAAGGGTTAAATAACTTCTGCTTCAGTAACGCAGGTGTCCTAGGTACTTCACTTGGCACCGCTGTCGCCTTAGTGTTGACCTCATTCTACTAGTGCCTAGCACCCTGGCTGAGATCAGGGCACTCTTATGGGTAGGTGGAGACAAAGACCAGGTGTGAGCCCTGGCTCACAATCTAACCAGATACCACAGAGAACAGCTGCAAGGAGGGAAAAACAAAGGCACAGAGAGGGAAAGTGAATTGCCTGAGGTCACCCAACAAGTTGCTAGCAGAGCCAATGTCACTCTTCCCTGCCAGGTGGGCCACACTGCCTCTCAATGGCACTTTGTTTTCATTTATAACCCGGCATGAAGGCAAAGGTAGAGAAAATGATTCTTCCGAGTACCGCTGTGCAGTGAGGGTAGCATCTGATAACCTTGTTTCAGTCTTACAGTTAGATAACAAAGCTCTTTGAAAGACGCTAGCTAGAAAGAGACCTTTTTAGAATATCATTTTAACTGTATCAATGTCGTAACAACTGCAGTGTAATCTTCAGTGTGTACTTAATTGGTTAATGATAAGGTCAAGGAAACAAATGTAATTTTTAGCTTACTCACATTTTGTGGAGCAGACAAAACACCTCAATGTGTGTGTCCCTCTGTGTGGGTAGTTGTTAATCTATTTAGAAACTGAGACATATTTTAGGGCTTGATCTTGCTTCTATTTTAGCAAGGGATGGAGGTGGTGTAGGTTGTCATTCACTTCAGTGGAAGCAAGATCAGACCTATATTGTACTTAGAAAGAATCCCAACCATGAGAGAAGAAAACTTTCCTTCCCCAGTTCAGAAGGACTTCTGCCCTCTACAACAAGGACTTGCAAGCACAGCACACATCATCTGCCATCCTGAGACCTTCTGATCTCCTTTAGTAACAAAATGTACTTTGTTGGGCTACCCTTTAGGTTTGGTTGGGTTTTTGGGTGATATGTAAAAGTTTATTTTGGCATTTTAGATTATTTTGCTAAGTTTTTGTTGCTAAACTGATGTTACTCACATATTGAAATAGAACACATGGTTTGTAAGACTGGGCAGAATGTGCTTTCGTTGTTCTAAAATGTGAGGGCAAGAGATAGGAAGTACACTCACCCCCTTCCCTGTGTAATGTGGATGTTGTTGACTTTTCTTAAAAATGGGCCCTGACTGGTGGTCATTGGCCGTGTCCGTGCCAGAAAACCATTTTGCGTTGGGATTTACAGGGGTTCGGCGTTTTGGCTACAACAGCTGCACAATAGTTAGTTGCTTGTCGGCCTGCTGGTGGAGGGCAGGGAAAGGAGACGGTTGCCTCAGGGCCCAGCAATTCAAAGGGGCTGCAGCCCCCGGCTGCCGCTACCACCACTACTTCAGCAACGGTGGCAGCCAGAGCCCTCGTCCCTGTGCATCGCAGCTGGAGCACTGTGCTGCATGCTCCAGGCGTTGCTGAGAGCAGGGGGATGGCACAGCACAGCACACTCTGGGAGGCATGGAGGGCTGGCTGCCCTGCCCAGCCCCGCCCTCTTTTTCCTGAGGCCCCACCCCTTACAGAACCACAAAGCTGGCCCGCCCCACTTTGCCCAGGCGCCGGCAATTCTGTTGGGCCCCCTGGTTACTTGATTTAAGTTTGGTAATTAATAGTAAGCCATCACTTGGCTTTGTAGTGGCCAAATTAGAAAACTGCATAATTGAAGTAACTTATGGATAATTTTTTTGTTGCGGTAAAGATTTGATTGTTTTAGCCATATGAGAATTTGCCTGATTTGGAAAAGGCTATTGCTTTTATGAGGGATTTTAGTGAAATCATTAACATGTGTAGTCATTAATGCCTGCATATTAGCTTTTTAAATTTTGCAACTTTTTTAGAATACAAACACAGAACAAAAAAGGGTCCTACAAGCCTTTAAGTCAAAGAGCCAGATCCACAAAAAACCCACAGCAGGGCCTACATGTCTAAATACTTCTGGGGATCTGGGCCCAAGAAAATGTCCAGCATAAGTTTTATATGGCACCTTCTGCCTCGTAACTTCCTTCTGCGTGCTGGGCAGGGTGACACACAAGAAGGAAGCGCAGGTCAGGCAGACACAGAGGGACGCTGCAGGCGTAGAAGTTCCTGTTGGCAAGTTTTTTTTGGTATATCTGCTGCACGCTGCATGCAAGCTGTCAGTCATCCTGACAGGACTTCTGTTCTTGGCTGTGTATAGAGCATTGATTAGGCTGCGACTGTATTAAGTAGTGGAGTATGATTAAGCCTGGGGATCATGATAGTTGCTTTTGCCTCTCTCTGCCTGTTGAGTGATGTGGAGACTGCCTGTGCCATAGTTATAGGGAAATTCAGAGTCCCTCCCATTTGAATGTGTAATCCAGTGACATGGGCTCGCTCTGCAGGCGTTCGCAGTCAGTGAACATGTGGTTTGATAAAACCCTGCACAGGCATCTGGACTCAGCTACGGAGTGAAGTGTAGCCTAAGCATTTCTTTCATTGTCTCCTAGGGCTCACGCGATATCTACGACCACGAGTTCTCCATAGAAGCAGACTCTTACTTGCCTGTGGATGACACCTTGATCCCTACTGGTTGGTGACTTTGAGAATTGCGTCTGTTTGAGGGTGGGCAGAGTGGGGATTTCATTGGGAGCAGGACGGGCTTTAAGGCAAGGAAAGTCGTTCTGAAACATAAGTGGAGTCTCTTATTCCATTAGAGCCATGGTTTGACCCTTCTGTTCGCAAACAGCCTAATGTGGCATGTGCAGGGGTCCAGAGCAACATGCCAGTGGCTCACCCGATGAGAGTCCGCTCTGCAGTTGACACTGAACTGACTCCTGCTCCATCCAAACACAGCTGGAGCATGATTCCCAGTGTTTTGCAAAGTGGCCTGTGAAACCACTTGGAGAAAGTTGAGAACTGACCCCAGCGGTGGGTTTACGTCCCGGTGCCCAGCGCCTCGCAGCTCCCATGGCTCTGTTTGCAGCCAAGGGGAGCCGCGAGGCTCCATGGCTGTGGTGCCGATGAGTAAATACACCAGCGGGGCCGGTTAGCAGCTTTCTCACGGTGCCCTGAGCCCTCGTGTGATTGGCTTTTTGGCCTTGTAGCCCTCGCTCTCCACTGTGGTGCAGGTATCTGCTTCGTGCTTAACTGAGGTTGTAGTGGATGAGCCTGATGCATACATGGCCTTCATTTCAAATCCCCCCAAAGCTGCATGTGTCTCCAAACTGAAATGTTACACGAGGGCCTCATCTGAGCTCCTGCCATCAAGTTAAAAAGATCAGACAAAGGGTTGATGAATTGTGAAGGGCTCAGTGGCGTTCTAAAAGTCTTAACGCTTTTTGCCTTGTACCACACGAGAGGCTCTGTGGTCTCGTGTGTATCAGTTAGTCTTGTGTCATCCGTGCAGAGACACAGCAGTAGATAAAGAGTTCACACACCTAGACCATGCAAAGTGCACCTGGTGAGATAACACGTCATTCTGGTCTGTCCCAGAGATGTGGGTGTGAAATAGATTACAGTAATTCCTCAGTTAACACTATAGATATGTTTCAGAAAATGATCGTGTTAAGTGAAAACGTGTTATGCGGGGTCAATTTTCCCATTGAAAATAATGGAAAAGGGGGGGGTTGCGTTTCAAGCGGTGGTGTCTGTTGGGACCCGGACATAAGGTTGGGGGAGGAAGGGGACTGGGTTGCAGCAGGGAGGGGAGGTGTTTGGCTCTGGGGAAGGAGAAGGGAGGGGGATCGGGTTGGGAGCATGCCCCTGTGACGGGTCTGCCAGGACCCACACTGCGTCCGGCGAAGGGGCGGGGAGGTTGCTGGAGAACGGCGTGGCGAACCCTCCGCCGCTTCGCAGGAAGGCGGGGGAAGCCCCGTGCAGCCACCGGTGTTGGGCCGGCTGGGGAAATTGTGTTATTCCGGGAACGGTCGTGTAATTCAGAAAACGTTCCCTAAAAAAAAATTGTGCTATCACGAAAACATGTCAAGCGGGCACATGTTAAATGCGGAATTACTGTACACAGCTATGTGTTCTGAGATGGACATTTTCCATATACCACATGCAAGAAAGAAACCTGAGAAGTTGCCTTCACTAGAGGGGATTTGGCCTCCTTAACTGATTTTTTTATTTATTTATTTTTTTTTAAATTTAGCATTCTTGAAAGGTGATGTACATTAACTAATGGATAGGTGCCTGCAACGTTCCTCTGTGAATAAAGCACAATGTGAGTAGCCACAGGCTAACTCACCACTCTGGGCATGAGGTAATTAACCGATTACCAAGGAGGGGGGTTCAGTTTGTTATCAGAGATACAGGAAGAGGGATCAGGCAGGCAGGCGAGGCTCTCCTGGAGGTGAGAGCTCTCTGCCCCATCATGTCTCGGGAGAAGGGAAGATGCTAATGCTCTCGGGAACAAGCCCTGTCCTCATCTAGTACCGTGTAAATGAGGCAGGCAGGTTGAGCTTGCCACGGGGTATGCGAGGAGTCCGGGGGAAGGACCGCAGCCTGCTGGACACAAGTACGAGTTACTCCATCATACCATCACGGGACTCCATGCTTCCATGGTGTAACGAATGGGGAGGGAAGCCAGTGCTGCTTTTGGTAGGTCTGTGCTGCAGCTGGGAGTGAGCGTCCAGTCTGCACTGGCAAGGTGAAAATAGCTGTGACCACGCTGCAGCTCTGGAGAGGCTCAGGCTAGCCATAGGCCCCCTAGGCTTGAGCTGGGGTGGCCAGTCCAAGTCTCCAGCTGAGTCACCACGTCCCACAGCTGTTTTGAGAGCACTAGCCCAAGCCTTGCCAGCACTACTAGGTCTGGCCAGCCTGGGAGGCCTGCTCCACGTTATCTCCACCTCCTGCCCCTAGCCCTGTTGCTTGTGCTGTTGTGAGTAGCTGCGAGTGCTCGGATCTGGTTCCTTTGCCCCTTTCCTTCCTCCTGCAGTGCCTGGCTTACTCCTGCTTTTGTAGCACCGTTTCAGAGGGGAGCCGGGTTAGTCTGTAATCGAAAAAACGGAAATCCAGCGAATGGTCCTGCAGCACCTGAGAGATCCACAAACTAACCATCTGCATTGCGCTCGGCTCTCGGGCTGCAGGGCTAGTCACTGGGTTTTAGGCTTTTTGTAGCCGAGCTCTCCAAATGAGCTGGAGGTCCTGTTCAAGCTGTACCTAGATAACCTGTGGCTCCAAGCCTGGTCATTGCATGATGGGAATCCCAGCCAGCTTGCTTTGTTTTACGTGGGATGGGTCAGATCCTCAACTGGCATCAGTCAGCGTGACTCCGCTGCGGTCTCACTCAAGCTGCACTGACTGACACCAGCTGAGGAGTAGGCCCAGGAGCCTCTGTTATGAACTGCCTTCATGCTGAGCAAGTGCATGTTTAAAACATGGATCAGATGCTGAAAGGTTTGACTTGGCTCCAGATCAGTTTTGAAACTAAAAGTCAAATGTCAGAGCAGCCCAGGCATCTGTGAAGTGTCAGACGCTGCGGCAGAGAGAGGAGGATGGAGGGCGGGGTTTTCCTCAAATTGTTGTTGCCAACAAAGCACTGGCAGCTAAACCTTCATGGAAATCACCAGGGCCCTCCCCATCTAACCTCCGAGATGCTCAGATACCAGGAGCACTGATGGGTGATGTTCCCACGCTCTATGGATGACTGTGGATGCTCAGATGGAAATAGGAGATAGACTTGCTGAGAGTTTCTGGGTAAGAATAAAAGGGAGAAAACAAGGGTGATGCCATGGTAGGGGTCTACTACAGACCTCCTACCCAGGAAGAAGAGGTGGATGAGGCTTTTTTTAAACAGCTAATAATATCATCCAAAACACAAGACTTGGTTGGTGATGATGGGGGTCTTGGTAGGGAAAATAAGGGAGCAAGGCACAGACTATCCAACAAGTTGTTGGACTGCATTGGAGACAATGTTTTATTTCAGAAGGTGGAGAAAGCTACGGGGGGGGGGCTGTTCTAGACTTGATATTGTCGGATAGGGAGGAGCTGGTTGAGAATGGACAAGTGGAAGGCAGTGTGGGTGACAGTCATCATGCAATGATAGAGTTCACGATTCTAAGGAATGGCAAAAGGGAAAACAAAGATAATGGATTTCAAGAAGATGGACTTTAGCAGACTCGGGGAGTTGGTACATAAGATCCCGTAGGAGGCAAGTCTAAGGAGGAAAAAAACAATTGAAGACAGTTGGCAGTTTTTAAGAGACACATTATTAAGGGCACAACAAACTATTCACCTGCATAAGAAAGATAGGCAGTATGACAAGAGACAGCCTGACCTTAACCAGGAGATTTTCAATGACATAAAAATAAAAAAGAAACCTGCAAAAAGTGGTAACAAAGTTATAAACAAATAACACAAGTATGTAGGGGCAAAATTAGAAAGGCCAGCCCACAAAATGAGCTCAAACTAGCTAGAGCCAGAAATGAAAACAAGAAAACATTTCTATGAATATATTATAAGCACGTGGAAGATCCAGGACAAGATAGGCCCGTTACTCAATGGAGAGAGAAAAACACTAAGGCTGTGTCCAGACTGGCAAGTTTTTCCGCAAAAGCAGGTGCTTTTTGCCTGCTGTCTACACTGGCCACTTGAATTTCCGCAAGAACACTGACTTCCTACTGTCTGAAATCAGTGCTTCTTGCGGAAATACTATGCTGCTCCCGTTCAGGCAAAAGTCCCTTTTGCGCAAAAGGGCCAGTGTAGACAGCCCAGATTTGTTTTGAGCAAAAAAGCCCCGATGGCGAAAATGGCGATCGGGGCTTTTTTTCAGAAAAGCGCGTCTAGATTGGCACGGACGCTTTTCCGCAAAAAGTGCTTTTGTGGAAAAGCTTCCATGCCAATCTAGACGCTCTGTTCCGCAAATGCTTTTAACGGAAAAGTTTTCCATTAAAAGCATTTGCGGAAAATCATGCCAGTCTAGACGTAGCCTAACAGAAAATGTGCAACTGGCAGAGGTGCTTAATGACTTCTGTTTTGGGTTACCTAACACAGTGAATGCCAGTGAAAATAGGGAGGTTCAAAAGTGAAAATGTTGAAAGAATAAGTTAAAAATTACTTAATCAATTTAGATGTCTTCTGTTTACCAGGAGCTTCACCAGGGCCTGATGAAATCGGCCTAGAACAGTGGTTCCCCGCCTTTTTTATACCACAGACCAGCAAACTCATTAAACAACTGTTGGTGGATCATTTGCATATTCTCATTTGCATATTCATTATGGGGATTAATTTTACTCTGTCATGTGTTATTTTGCTGACTGTCCACTAGCCATGTGGTTCCTCCAGCTCCGGACAGCTGGAGCAGCTGTCAGCCGTCCCGCCTGACAGCCAGGCGGTTCCTCCGGCCCCAAGCAGCCACCTGCTCACGAGCCATCTGGTTCCTCCAGTCTCGGCCAACTGGAGTAGTTGCCCCCCATCCTGCCCACCAGCCACGTGGTTCCTCCAGCTCCAGGCAGCTGGAGCAGCCCCCCACCTGCCTGCCAGCCAGCCATGTGGTTCTTTTGGCCCCGGCTAGTCGGAGCAGCCGCCCATTGGGCTGCCATGTGGTTCCTTCAGCCCGGAGCAGCCACCTGCCCGTCAACCATGTGGTT